TGAACTTTACTCTTTTGTGTTTTTAGCTTCCCCCATTCACTCTACAGCAATGCTTCTTTTACCTAAGCTAAAGATCCCTGCAGCGCCCAAAATACTATGGGGTTTGCTCATCAAGTAGGTTACTGCCAGTACAATTGTGATGAGAGAGTAGGGACAGTCTGAATCTGGGATGCATAAGGGGGTAACAGCTTGAAAGTGCTGCTTGACCCAGTCCATGGAGCCCAGGGGCATGTAAGGAGAGGTAGCTTGAAAATGCTGCTTCATCCAGCCCAGTGAGTCCGGAGACATATAAGGGGTCAGCTTGACACTGCTGATTGACCCGGTCTGCTCAGACTTGCTCTGTTAATGTGTGTGGGTGTGTTCATCTGGTTCTGGGGCTGGAGAAACCCAGCCCTAGGGAACCTAGGTCCTGCAGGATAGCTCCATTGGGAGGGGACTTGCAGAAGGGAGAAGTAGAGCTCCGTATGAGAACACAAGTGATACAAGCAGTACATTGATAGAATTACAGACACCCCCCACCCAAGTGTAACCCGAATAAATGAGCATACCCCAAAGTAATGGACAAATCTGGTGACAATAGGCACACGCCAGCCCCGGAGTCCTCCAAGTGTTCCTCTGCAGTGTCCAACCCCTGTTCCACTGGAGACTCACAGAATTCACAGATCCACTGCTCCCAAAGGAACAGTACCCCCCGTCCTCCAGCTTGCCAGTTCCACCTCACCTCACAGCTCCACTTACCACACAGCACTGTACCGATGATTACAGTGAAAACAAGTACAAGTGTATTTAACACAGAGAAGAGTCACATGATAGCAAGTTTCAGCGTATTAGAAACAAAAGGTTGCCTATCGAGTAAAATCATAACTTGCATTCTAGAGCCTAGACTTATTTAACCAGTTACTTTTATGTCTTCTAGAGCTAGGCTCACCCCAAATCCTTCCAGTGTATTTCAGCCAGGCTTGGCTGCGCCCTTCAGTTTGCCCTCTCAGTGAAAGATCCTGGGTGCACCTCTGTACCCCCAGTGATACCTCCATGACTTCACTTATAATCCACTTATAAACAGGATGCTTCCCATGCTGATTGATTGTTTTGTTTTTTGTTTTTTCCCCCGTGAGATTTTTTTTTTCTTGTCAACTTCACAATCTCTTAACATTTGGTTCAGTCTGTAATTAGTTCTCCACTAGGACACGGACAATACACACATGACTAGACAGATACATGTCTCTTCCCTCCTGCCTGATAGGAGCACGTTTATCACCTTCTGGTGACCTGTTGTAACTTGCATACCTTAGGAATGTATTTTTCAATATGGATACATAACTCCTTAAATAGTATTTGTACATACATCTCACAGTGATTAGGATGACCACTGTGTTACTGGTTGTTGGTAGAGACTTCACATGCCACCCTTTGGCACTCTATTATGTAGACATCGGGCCCAGGGAAGCCCTTTTAAAATCCTAGACACCTCCTGTGCTCCCTGCCAGTTGGCATCAAGAGGCTCCTGAGACACATGGGAGCCCCCATCAGGATTGGGGCCTTTTTGTGCCAGGTGCTGTACAAACATAAAGGAGTCAGAGGTAGAAAAATACCTCTTAGGTCATACAATCCATCTGCTTAGGAGGTAATCAAGTGGCTGACATGTTAAGGCTAGGAATCCCACTGGAATAGCAAATCAGATATTCAGGATATTTTTCAAAGAAGTGCCCTGGATGAGCCGGAATTTGGCATTTCTCAAATGTAAGCAATTGTGGCTTAAAAAAACAAAAAAAACTTACCTAAGGCTTCAGCTGCGTTGCACTTGGATTTGTAAAGCAACAGGTGAGGCAAAAAAATCTCTGTTCATCTAAAACTAAACAGGCTTGTGTCTCTTGATTTTTAGGTCTCACCCTAGATCGCTCCAAGCTGCATCTTCTTCACGGCAACCTGCAAGCCCAAGCCTGGGATGATATCACCAATCAGGTGGTGCTGGAGTTCACCCACCTCTACGCACGGTTTGAAGTCACCCACTTCTCCTGGTGAGCTCTGACCCACTCACGGACAGTGTTTGAAGAAGAGGCTAGAAGATGTATAGCGCACCTTTCCCCAGACCAGGGGCTGTGCTGCCGCTGTTCCCAGTTTCCCTTCCAGCGACTTGCCAGGGTTACTCTTTCCCCTTAAGAAGGATGGAATGCCGTAGCTTTATACCTCCAGTTAATGGTCCCAATTCCTTGGCACACAGTACAGCCGCACTGGGGAAAAAAGCTGGTTTTGTGTCCCGGCAGGGTTCTATTTCTCCTCACTTCACGTCCCACCAGATTGCAGTGAGCAGATTCGTGGTTGCCCTTGTAGGCCAGGTTTCTTTGAAGGGGCCATGCTCAAGCTAGTACATTCCCACTCAGAACCAATATCCATTCAATAGTGAGGTTCCTGGTCACCACTCCTCCCAGCTGCCGGAATCCTTCCCTCGTCCATAGGCTGCTGATGCAACCTTTGCCCCTCATTTGTAAGTTCTCTCACTCACTCTTGGGCTGGGAATCTGCTTTTTGGAGGATAACCTGTGTCAAGGGGACAGGATGGTGTCTGTGACTAAGCTCCCTCAAAATCCAGAATTTCCTAATTTTTGTCTTTCCCCTTTGATAAAAAGGAAGCGTCACTTTAAGATCCACCCCCTCAGGTTCCCGTCCTTGGCTTCTCTGCTGGCAGAGGAATCCCTGCCTCATTTGCTCCCTTCCCCAGGTACTGGCTGTGGTATACCACCAAGACCTACGTCGGCGGCATCGCTAGGAAGGTGTACGAGAGGCTGCGCCTGTACCAGGTGAACTTCATAGCGCTGCAGAGGAAGAAGGACCCTGAGCAAGTCTTGCTGCAGTGTGTCCCCAAGCACAAGGTACTGCACGCGCTGCCCTGCCAAGGGGCCTCAATCCAGAGCTGTTGGAGAGGGGGTGATGGGAGCAATTGTGCCTGGTATATTCACCAAATGTCTCTGTCCATTTAGCCCTCGGCTGTTTGTTTGATTGAAGGTTCTTGTTGCAATGGTGGTTTTTGTGCCGGGGACACCAGCATATTTCACACAGCTGTCTAGTGCAACAATCACCAGTCTAGTTCAGCCTGACGACTTAATGGTGAAAGCTGTGCTGTCCCATTATAATCCTCTGGGCTGGTCCCACTTATGTATAATTCTTGTGCATTGGGCTCCAGTATTGAAATAAAACACATTGATAAACACCGGAAGGGAAACATCAAGCCTTGGGCATCAGGGGTGAAATCCTGGCTTCAGTGAAGCTAAAATAGCAAGACTCCCGTTTGACTTCAGTGGCGCCAGGAGTCTGTTTTCCTAACAAGGAAGTTGGTCCCAGAGGGTTCACTGGTAGGATATTACAAATCCATGTGCAGGATGAGATATGTTGTACAGCGTCAGCCTAACTCAACCTGTCTTTGAGAAGTAAGAGCTTATAATCTTTGTGCATTTGCATGCTGCTACCCCAGGATGAGGCTTTCAGCAGAGGGACAACAATCCTGTGCTACAATGCCACTTAGCTGAGGCCAGGAGTTATGTGTGGAAAAGATCTCCCCACGACTAAACGTTCGGGGAAAAGGAGAGTGAATAACTTCTTGGTTTTGAAGGGTTACTGACAGGTTAAAATTAATCTGCTCTAACACCCAGACACTACAGTTGCTAATGATGCTGAAGGACTTTTCAACCTCTGATTGCAGCATTGTTGTAGTCACATTGGTCCCAGGATATATGAGACACAAAGTAGGCATGGTAATCTCCTTTATTGGACCAACTTCTGTGGGTGAAAGGTACAAGCATTTGAGCTACACAGAGTTCTTCTTCAGGTCTGGGGAAGAAAGTCGAGAGAGTCTAAGCTAAATAGAAGTTTGGCCCAACTTGTATTTGGCTTAAACACTCTGCTTCCTTCCCCAGAGCTGAAAAGGGAATTAGACCAGCCAGGTTATAACTGATATGCTTCAGCACCCGGCTAGTGTAAGAAAAGGAGGGCCAGCTAGACTTGGGCAGTACCATCCACTCTGGCACTAGTCCAGCGTGGGCTGGAACAGTTCAGACCATGCCAGTATTTAGTCCTGCTGACAGCCAGGCAAACATAAATAGTTGTTTCTCCCCCACCACAAACCGTGGAGCTTACTTGTGTGCATGGATGCCATGTGTTTTATAAACATGCCAAGGGAGCCATGTGATTCTTAGCTACAGTGACTTTTTTAATGACAGATTAGACCTTTAGGGGAATGGTGATTTTTTGTTTTTAATTTTTTCTTTGAAAAATAAGCTCTTTCCATTGAAAGTGCAAGAGAAAAATGTCTTGGACTCATTTCGGGGGTGGGGTGGGGTGGGGGCTGTGAATGTGCAAAGCCAAAACAGACACCCATGTCACTTTCATCCCTGGTAGGTCGATCCTGTTCTGGGAAAGCTTCATGACCGCTACCAGGGCCCGGAGCCCTCTGACATTGTGGAGTTGTTTGAGGGGGAGCAGTTCTTTGCAGCCTTCGAGGGAGGCATCAACATTGATGCTGGTATGGCAGAGCCTTCTTGTCCAATCTGCTCTCCTTCTTTCCTCCGTCCCTTTCACCTTCAGCGCCTTCCCACTCTGTATTCGCTTAGCTGGTCTGGCAAATGGAGCTTAGCACTGCTGCCTGTGCTGATCCACCAATGGGCAATGCAGTGGTCCTTCTGCTCTCTGGAGACAGAGTGAGAGGACTGCAGGACATGCTTTTGGTAGTGAATTCTCCCTAGGGAATCACTGCTTCCAGTGCTGTTTCCAGGACCATGCTGAACTCTACTCTCCTCATAGCAAACCACAACAAGCCCCAGAGGGTTACAGTCTAGTACAGTGTATTTATTCCATAGGTAAGCGGTGTACATGACCTGTATACTAGCACACGCTAGCTGATCTAACAAGTTTAATCCATTTCTGATGTAGTCTACATACAAAGCCATTTCTATGGAGAGAAAATCCTTGGAACAGTCCAGCCCAGAGAACTCCCTGTGTGGAGTTGAAATGCCTATCTGTCTTGCTGGCCGTCCTCATTTTATCTCCCTCTCTCACTAACTCCATTTACGGGGGACTAAAACTACAAGACGGTATCCTGGGGCAGCCAGGTGGCAAGGGGTATCAGAGCTGCACTCTGAGCCCGCTTCTGATCTCTGATACCCTGGTGTAATTCCACTGTGACACACCAAAGACAATAGAGTCACTCTTGATTGGCCCTGGGGTAGATGATCCCAAAATCGGACCCTTTACCACTAAGTCACACAGGACTCTGTAGCCTAGTCTCAGGGCACCAGAAGCCCTCACCTACCCTTTGTCACGGGCATTTGGCAGGGTGGTACAGTATAGGAATCCTGAGGCAACATATGCAGCATTATTTTTTCCTTTATCCCTACACATATATCCCTCCCCCGACATTAAGGAAATGTAAAAAAGACAGATGGTTTATTTTGTGTAAACAGGAGTAACTTCCCAGCTGGTTCTCCTTGCTCATTAGTGACCCGTTCCTGGGAAGGACAGATGCAATATTTAACCTCAACATCTTCGCCCCCCCTTCACACTCCTTGCAACTCCTCTTCCTCCGGTGGCTGGTTTCCTTTTGCTCCTGCATGTTCTGCTTCCTCTGCGGTCACGGGTGGCAGTCCTGTCCCAGAAGGGGATGAGCCAGAAAATGGGGAGAAGTGGGTTTTGGTCTGGGAAGCTGCTGATGTAGCCCTTGCCTAGGAGCAGGAAGGTTTTCTGTGCATCAGTTGATTGATTGATTGGTTTTCCCTGGCTCCGCTCAGACCGCCCAGACTGTGTGGACGGACGGATCTCGTTCATCTTTTACTCCCACTTGAAGAACATGAAGGAAATCTATGTGACTGCTGAAGTGGACAGGAAAGGCCAAGCTGTGAGAGGGCAGGTGAGTTTCTGGGGATAGTGCTTACCGGACCAAGAGCCTCATTTTCTTTTTCTGCAGTCATTGGCTTTCCTGTGGCAGCCCTTGCCGCAGCGCCTCAGCCTTGAGTGTGTCAGTGAATCGAATTTCTGCTTTTCCTCACCCAAAGACTGACCTGTAAAATATGCCCACAGGAGAGAGTGGCTTGAATACTAATGGTCACCCATCACCCAGGCTGGTGCCCAGGGCTATCTGCCTGCCGTTAACTCTTGGTCTGTTAGCAGTAAGGGAGAAGGGGCTGGACTCTATGGTGGATCCTTGTATTATTGCCAATGGCACCCACTCAATCAAACTGCAGATGGCACTCCAAGTGGGGACTGTGTGGTCTCCTGTAGGGACTGGGTGGGAAACGTCCTACATAATCCTTGCCAAATGGAAAACAAGCCGCATAGATAGACATGGCCATTGAAATGCCATCTAGGTCTTACTCTGTGATCTCTCCTGCTTGTGAAGGTCTCCTTCTATCGTGGCGAAGTTCCAGACAATGTCCCTGAAGATGCCACCAAGAAGAGGAAAGGGCCCGACTCCCACTGGCTGGCTACTCTGCCAATCAAACTGCCTGTGAGTTACTTGGTCACCTAAGGGGAAGCCGAACATGGATGGGGGAAACATTTGTGTCTGTCTGCTAAGCTGAAGTCTCCCATACTTAGCCCCAAAAAGAGTGGGATGGACTACAGCCGGAGGTGTCAGAAACTGCACGATGGAAAATGAAGAATTTCTTTTCCTTTGTAAAGGGGGAGTGTGTGCGCATGCAGCCATGTGAGTGTATGGGGGAAGGAGAGAATAGCTGTACATGTGCTTTCACGTGTCTTCAGTGTGTGGAGTAGGGTGCTGGTGGTGAGATCACTTGAAGGTGACCAGGCACAATTGCATCAGCTTTCTAAAGCTCTTGTAAACAGCCATTGGCACTTTCCCAACACTGAGAGATTGCTCCCCTCCTCCCCAAGGAAGTGTGTAACTGGAAATGTTCCCCATCTCTCTCTAGTTTATCCACCTACCTGTCCTGTTCCATTTTGCACTGTTCTGAGCTGGCACGGATGTGATGAAATGTCTCAGAGGACAGATTGTTGCTCTGAGTGAACGAGGGCACTCGAGGAGGAGGAAGCTGGTTAGAACTGAGCACAGTTTCTGTCTTGCATATGAATACCCTGGTGATGGGTATTGTTGGGAAGGTGGATTGTCCAGTGCATGGCAGCTCAAAGGCGTTTTGATGAAACCATTGTGTTGAAGTGTGCTGGAACGAGCCAAGGGTGCCTTAAAGGGACCTGGCTGGCCAAGCTGTGTCATGGCAAGTTTTATTTCTCTTGAGCAGGCTCGAACCAGTAAATATTGTTGTCTTACTTTGAACATCACCGTAAGGCTTACCCCACTTTTGGTACAGCCTCGGTTTGGGGCCTAGAATAAGAGCTCTCTGAACGCTGAGGGACATATGCTTGCGGAAACAACTGGTAATGAAAAGTGAATCTCCAAAGACAGGGCAAGGAGGGATTTCCTGCTTCAGGCTGTGATTGTGGGTGCTCCGGGACAGACTGGCAGAGGTGCTGAGCACCCATAGCTCTCACTGGAGTCCATTAAACAGTGGGTGGTCAGCACTTCTCCCAATTGGGTCCCTAGACCCACGTTAAATCTACCTCTTTGCACCTTGGGGAAGTAAAGTTCAACTAAATGACTTGGCACTGCCCCTTTAAAAGGAAATCATTTCAGCCAGGAGTACTTCTGTCACTCTCTCTTCCATCAAACAGAAACTGAAATCCCGCTCGGGTGAGCATTCAGAGCCCAAGAACGGTTTCTCCTTCCCTCCTCTGAACCTGGGGAATGCCGAGACCGGCTACCTGACACAAGCTAATCTGCTTGGCATCGCCGGGCGCATTGGAGCCGACTGGCAAACTATTGGCTTGAACCTGGGGCTGCCCTATCAGCAGATCAAACGAATAGGATACAACCACAGGTGAGCCGTGTGTGCAGAGGTCAATATGGTGGCCCCAGGGACTCATACATCTCCAGGGGGGAGTATCTCCACTAGGGCTGATGGAAAAATTGGGGTTTTGACTTTAAAACAAACAAAACACGTGACTTTTTTTTTTTTTAATATCAAAAACCTAAAATATTTTGTCTGAAAACTGAAATATGTCTGTTTGGAAATGCTCCTATAGTGTCTCATGGGAGTTGTAGTTTGGGTGCCTCCTATGCCCTATCTCTGTGGGCAGGTCTCCCAGGTAGGATTATATCTCCCATCATGCACCATGGTTAGGGACTCCCATGATGCACTGCCCCATCTCTCTTAAGAAGGGAGACTCTGGTGCATCCTGGGAGATGTAGTCTGACCAGGGAGTTGAGACTGTTGACAAGAATGGGAGATTGAGACAGCATTGTCAAATCAAAATAGTTTGGTTTTCAGCCGAAAACTAAGGGTTGGGTAGTGAGAAAATAGTCCTACTGAGTCATCTTACTGTGGCATGATGGTACTTTTTGGGGTCTGGACCCAGTCACAAGCTCAAGTAAATGCCGTGAGGGATGGTGGGTTTGTTATTTCTGTGCTTCTTGCTCTCCTCAGGGAGGACCTGGATAGTCAGATCCTGAACATGCTCTTCTCCTGGGCCCAGCAAAACTCTGAGGACCAAAACTGCGTGGAGAAGCTGATCACAGCCATGAAGGAGAGTGGCCGCCAGGACATTGCAGATGAGATTGAAACTGTCATTGAGCTGGGAAGGCAGAAATACAGGGCGTCCATCCGCCGGGTGGGCCTGGACCAGGAGAGCAGCGCTGAAGACTCTGCAATAGCCATGGTGTAGCAGCCAGCAGAAGGAACTCTGCTTCTTACTGTGGTGACCCCTCCCCTGTGCACAAGGTGGCATGGCTGCATGGGGAACTCCCAACTGATCCACATACCACCATCTGCCATGCAAGCTGGGGGGCGCCAGCTGGATTATGATCATCCACTACTAATCCACTGTGCTCTGCGAAGGGTATGCTAGTGACTTCTGTTAAGTCCATACGTGCCAACTTCCCAGTGTATGGGAAAGGCTGGTGAGTCCTGCGTTCAGGCCCTCTGGCTTTAGGTGTTAGGGACGTGGAGAAATTCAGAGAAGTTAAATAATGGAGAACACTGCTTTTAATAACATTGCTGTAATAGATATGTATATATAACTTACGCCTAAACCTACGTTCTGCTAATGATTTGGGACCTGAACATTCCTCACCACATCTCTTCCTTCAGCATTTCTGTAGGGACAGATTCATTTGTGTTCTGGTGTTTGATGTAAAACTTAATGGGGGAATCCCACTATACTAGCTTGTGCTGTGATCCTCCCAGATCTCCAAGCAAAGGTTGGGTCAGTAGTTGGATGGGGGACCTCCAGCTATCTATTTTAGGTACCAATATGGTCCCCATTACCATAATATCTGAGCACTTCACAGTCTTTAGAGTGGGAAATTTAGCAACATTTTCATTTCCACTTCATTTCCTGTGAAAACATTTTTGTCTTTTTCCTTCCACAAACAACCAAACCCTGGAAAAGAATTGTTTTTTGGGGGAGGGAGGGGAATTTTGGTGTTTGGGTAGTTTTTGTTTGTTTTTTCATTGGTAGAAATTTTCCAGTTTTTCCAACTTCTTGTTTTGTTCAAAAACCATTTTGCAATTATTATTTTTTTAAAAGCCTCAGTTATTTTTTATTTATTTATTTATTTATTTGCCCAACTCTAGGGCTCTGTGGGGCTGGAGGTCTTTTGGACGAGACCTAAAACCTGGCAGCTCTTGACCGTAGGTTCCATTTTACTTTCTGCAATAAATTAGGAGGTTGAACCCACCGTCCTGGCCAAATGCCAATTTGGATTCAAGTTGCCTCTTTAAAGTTTCCCAGCAGTTTCAAGTGGATACTGTATTCTTCACTTCCTCTCTTACACTGTTTGTGTGGTGGGACTCTGCAGTACTGAGCAGCAGGTGAAGCTCAGCTCAGAGGTCACAGCACTCACTCCTGTGTATTGGTTTCAAAGCACTATGGGATGAAAAGCACAATATTCATGTGGCATTTTAAGAGCTGATTAGGTCAGCTGCAGGACAGAGCAGAGCATTGTGGGATCTGGATGGAATGGTGCTGACCTCACCTTTAACCTTCCTAATCTGAGTATCCTGCAAATGAGAATTCTCTATTGACTTCCCCAGGTCTCCAATCCATCTCATAATGGGCCTGAACTGAAGACAATAGGAGTCTTTCCATGGACTCCCCCAAAAGCCACTGGAATCCCTCTTTTATTAAGGGTGCTCCTTAGGAGATCGACTTGAATGACATATACTGAATTCCGGGAGCAATACTTGAAGGGATACCGTCAACTTGAAAAATCACAGTTCTATCTAAAATTTTTATACCTACTATGACCATTGCAGCTGGAAGAAGTTAGCAAAAACCACTGATTTCTGGGGGTAGGTTTTTAGCCTCTTTACTTTGTGCATCATCACTTTCACTAAGATTCCACCTCAGAGTCAGTTTGATTTGCTGAGAAGACTTATAAATATTAACAAGGAAGCAGAAAAACCCTTGATCTTTTTTTGAAGGAAATTTTTTTTAGGAAACTTCCCCTATGGTGAAGTTAGTGCATAATTGTCCACTTGGGTTTCTTGTATCTTTTTCTGAAGCAGCTGGTACTAGCCAGTGTCAGAGATAGGATGGTGGGCTAGGTAGACCAGTGGCTTGATGTGATATAGTCAATGCTACTTTATTCTATAGAAATTGGAATTTTGTTATTGTTTGGTGTTATTTGTATTAAGTAGCACTTAGGCCCCAACTGAGATCAATCACTGTACAAACTCATAAGAAGAGCTTACAATCTACACAGACAAGAGGCGGGAGAGGAAACAGGCATAGAGAGAGGAAGTGATTTGCCCAAGGTCACACAGCTGGACAGTGGGAGACATGGGAATAGAACCCAGGTATCAGGGTACTAGGCTGGGCACTATCTGCTAGACAACACTGCCTGCAAGTTCTCATTATCTAAGTTCAGGTTTACAGTGCCGCTTTAAAACTTATTTCTTCTTCGAGTAGTGTCCCTGTGCGTGCGTCACTTCAGGTGCACATGTGCCTCCTGAGCCCTTGATTGGAGATTTTCAGTTAGCAGTGTCCGTTCGGCCCGTGCATGCGCCCTATGCCTCCTCATGCCAGAAACTGAGGCTATGTGGAAGGGGAGAGGGAGAGGAGGTGAACTGCCCTCAGTTCTTTCTCAATCGCCATGCCCTGAGAGGGAGCCTGGTGTGCCCACCTTGAGTGTGCCTTGGCTCTTCTAACATTTCTGTAGTGATTAAGATAGTTTATCTAGTTAGTTAGTTGTTAGCATAGTTATAGATAGTCAGTAGAGGATTGTTTTACTCCTTTCTTACCCTTTGGGGAGACTTATTTTTTCCTGGCAGGGTATAGCTGGCTTGCCAGGTTTCATAAACTCATAGACTCTAAGGTCAGAAGGGACCATTATGATCATCTAGTCTGACCTCCCGCATGATGCGGGCCACAAAAGCTGACCCACCCACTCCTGGAATTATTCTCTCCCTTGACTCAGCTGTTGAAGTCCCCAAATCATGATTTAAAGACTTCAAATCGCTGAGAATCCTCCAGCAAGCGACCCCTGCCCCATGCTGCGGAGGAAGGCGAAAAACCTCCAGGGCCTCTGCCAATCTGCCCTGGAGGAAAATTCCTTCCCGACCCCAAATATGGCGATCAGCTGAACCCCGAGCATGTGGGCAAGATTCTCTAGCCAGACCCTCTGGAAAAAGTTCTCTTTGTAGTAACTTTTAATATCCCATCATTGACCATTGTTACTAATTACCCAGCCATGGCACGTTATTGACCTATTGACTAAAATCACTTCATCCCATCAAACCATCCCCTCCATAAACTTATCAAGCTTAATCTTAAAGCCAGAGAGGTCCTTCGCCCCCACTGTTTCCCTCGGAAGGCTGTTCCAAAACTTCACTTTCAAATGTTGCCTCTCCTGCTGAGAGGCTATCCCTTTGAGTGACGGCCGCTCTAAGGGTGTCCATTGCTTGGGGGAGTCCCACGTCTCCCAGAAATACAACTTCTGCCTGGCCCTTGAATGCAGGGAACGGAAAACCAGAAAGATTAAACTCAGACTGTTAATGAAGGAGCGCTCCCTTCAGCTAGCTTCTGAGTCAGGTCAGGAGTCACCCCCTCCCCCACCAACATACATCTGTCTCCGGACAGGTCTGGCACTGTTTCTACCTCTTCTACCAGCACAGGCTTCCCCTAAGAAATGGAAGACTTTGGAGGCTTCAGGGAAGGCTTTCAAAAAGAGGAGCGTGGACTCTCTCCTCAAGGAGCCAGCTCTAAGAAAGTCCATGTCCCTGGTGAGATCTATGGTCTCTGAAGCCTCAACCTCTTTACTTGATACCATTAAGTCGGAGGACTCTGCAGCACTGTGAGTACTCGAGGAAAAGTCCCGGAGCACGAAGGAGAGACACTGCTGTGTTAGGGACTCGGTACCTTCTACAGCAAGGAGAGCAAGACTAGACACTTGGGACTGGCACCATTGAAGTCAGCCCAGCCTTTGGGACCCATGCATGCAGCACCCTCGGCACTGAGCAAGGGGCAGCACCAGATACCATCCACGTCTACTTTGGAATGCCCACCATCAGCAGTACTGTTGGCTTCAGCAACCATGGCCATAGCTACTGCATTGGTAGTGATCCCCTATTCGATAGCACAAGAGTTCAGATATAATAAAGACCTCTTGATAACAGAAGAACTGGAGTCTCCACTCCTTATGGGTACCAAGCATCTCCCAGTACAGAGACCCTGATCTCTGGACTACCATCCTCTGGCACTGCAGGACTCTCCACCGTTTTATGCAGGTACTCCTCCTCTGGATGAGATGGAGGAGGATGAAGGAGACTTCCAGTCAGTTTCTTCTATTTCTGTTCAGAGTTCTAGCATATTCCTTCAGGAACCCATTTTCTGAAAGGCATAGGGAAGATTGAGCTCATTATCAAGGGTGGTGGAACCAACCTTGCATGCCACTCCCAGGAATCTGTACTAGGACCAGTGCTATTCAACATATTCATAAATGATTTGGAAAAAGTGGCAAGCAGTGAGGTGGCAAATTTTGCCTACAATACAAAATTACTCAAGATAGTTAAGTCCAAAGCAGACTGCAAAGAGTTACAAAGGGATCTCACAAAACTGGGTGACTGGGTAACAAATTTGCATTTATCAACATTGAATTTCATCTGCCAAGTAATGCACATTGGAAAACACAATCCCAACTACTCATACAAAATGATGGGATCTAACTTAGCTGTTACCACTCAGAAAAGAAATCTTGGAGTCATTGTGGATAGGTCTCTGAAAACATCCACTCAATGTGCAGCAGCAGTCAAAAAAGCTAACAAATGGTTCACCCACACGTTGAATACTGTGTGCAGTTCTGGTCACCCCATCTCAAAACTGATATATTAGAATTGGAAAAGGTACAGAGAATGGCAACAAAAATTAAGGGTATGGAACAGCTTCCGTATGAGGAGAGATTAAAAAAGACTGGGACTTTTCAGCTAAGAAAAGGGGAAACTAAGAGGGATATAATAGAGGTCTATACAATCATGACTGATGTGGAGAAAGTGAATAAGGAAGTTTTGTTTATCCCTTCGCATAACACAAGAACCAGGGGTCACCCAAAGAAATTAATAGGAAGTAGGTTTAAAACAAACTAAAGGAAGTATTTCTTCACACAATGCCCCATGAACCTCTGGAACTTGTTGCCAGGGGATGTTGTGAAGGCCAAAACTATAATGGGATTCAAAAAAGAACTAGGTAAGTTCTTGGAGGAAAGGTCCATCAATGGTTATTAGCCAAGATGGTCAAGGATGCAACCCCATGCTCTGGGGCATCCCTAGCCTCTGATTGCCAGAGGCTGGGAGTGGATGACAGGGGATGGATCACTGGATAATTGCCCTGTTCAGTTCATTCCCTCTGAAGCACCTGGCATTAGCCATTTTCATAAGACAGGATACTGGGCTAGGGGGACTCCCTCCTCCATCTGGCGAGATTGCTCGGAAGTCACCTGGAGTGGAGCACCCATAAGGACACTCCTCAAAGAAGAGGTCACTCACTTTGTGCAGTAATTGTGGTTCTTTGAGATGTCATGCTCTATGGGTGCTCCACTACCCGCCTCTCCTGCCCCTTTCCCTCTTCTTCGGACTGTTCTTTAGGTGATGTCTGGGTGGAGAAGGAATCAAGGGCAGTTCACTCGCACATCCCTGTATAACCTCGGTATCCAGTATGAGGAGGCATAGGGTGCATGCGTGGGCTGAATGGACACTGCTAACTGAAACTCTCCAATCAAGGGCTCGAGAGCCGCAAGCACACTTCAAGTGAAGCACCCACTGAGGGAGACAACTTGAAGAACTGCAGTTACTGCACAAAATGACTAACCTCTTCTTCCTGTTAGTTTTGTAATATGTCGTGTGTCATTTCTGTCTGGTCTGGGGAGTTACTGTTCTTTGCTCCAGCTTTGGAGTGATGCACTTGGGCATGTTGCCCTAATTTGTAATAAAAGAAACTTTAATCACGTTGTATCTTGTAAGTACATGATGGGTAACAACTCAGCATGGGCTGCAGTATATATAGCAGCTAATCACGTAAGGACTTACCCAAGTCTAGCTCACAAGTCTGTTCTAGAGAAGGCACGCTAAGGCTGTCTGTGCTAGAGACCAGTGGTCTCCAAGCTTTTTTGATCGGTATTCCAGTACCAGGTGACATAGTCACATATCCTGTGAGACCCCAAGCCTCCATTCTTTCCGGCCTGACTCTCACAAACACAGGAAGG